CTGATATTTCTTCTCTGTCCCTCTCAAGACAGGCAACTACTAAGGTTAAAGACTCCATCTCAAAATGCCTTCTCATTTTGTGCCCTGGCCCTAGATGAGGCTCCCATTACCTCTTGCCTTCACCTTACCAATAAGAGCTTATAGATGTGTTCTGTTTCTTTCCTCTCCAGTCAGCTCTTGGCATCAAAGTGAGATCACAAAGCAGGAGTCAAATCCTCTTTATTCCCCTCCTTAAAGACTCTCACTGATTCTCAGAGCTGGTAGTTTCTCCCTCCTGACACGACATTCTGGGTCTTTTACTTTTCATTTGTGCCTGGGTTCTGAGGCTTCATATCAGCAAGTCTCACCCCTGTGGCGGCACATAAAATGCCAGTGTCCCAGGCCCAGCACAGGCCAATTAAATCAGAACTGCTGGGGATGGATCCCAGGTGATCCTACTGTGCAGCCCAGGGAGGGGGACACAGCCTGCCACTGCTGCTGCCCATAGCTGTGGTCACTTTATCCCATTCCACTGATGTGGCTCTGCCCCAAGCTGCCAGCCAGTCCTGACTGGAGGTGTGTATCAACTTTGAGCTCACCGTCATGCCACTCTTCAGCTATTCTGACCTTGATTTGATGCCCTAGTCCCTTCTAGGACTGAGCCCTGCCCAACCTCCATTCTTCTGCCTCTGCTGTTTCTTAAACCTAGAAAGCCTTCTCCTGACCTGTCTGTTAAGATACCATTCCTTGTAATAGGTCCAGTTTAAAATGCCACATCCCCCCAGTTGGAATCAGTCACCTCCGGCCTGCCATAGCACTTAGCACAGGACATACAGCGAGGGGACACTGGATAAACATTTGTTGCAATGCAATTACTTGTTCCTGCAGATATGTTCTAGCTGGACATGGAAGTTTCAGGGCCACAGGAACTAGCCATACACTTAGCACAAGGAAAACTGGAGACTTTTAGTCCTTGGTTGCAGAAAAGCAGATACATAAACCATCCAACCTGGTCTGTTTTTTAATCACTGAGTAGAAAAGGTTTGTTTACTGTTGTTGTTTTAACCAACTATATTTATCGTAGTTCCACAATAAATGTATTTTGGAACTAACATTTGAACCCTGAGAAGCATCAGATTTTAGCACTCTTTAATAAATAGCTGTGTTGAAGGGGGGCCAGCATACACCCAACACTAGTGGAACAGCCCCCACAAATACAACTAAATTGAGACGTGGCTGTTATTGTTTCTGGTCTTCTCATTTTTAAAGCTTCTTGGCATCCAGAAAAGCTATTTCAGTCTCAGAGGAGATTCATTTACAATATTTAAGTAGTTCTTTTGAAAGTGAAAATGCATCGTGTCTATAGTAACAAGGAGGAAGAGTGGAGTATAATATACTATTATGAGTATTCATGAAAAGTGGAGTACTTCATAAAATTACTCTCAGGTATTTTAAATTCATCTCTTTTTTCAAGGTTAATTTGGCTAAGATCGGAGCATCTTATAATCTTCTAAAATATTAAAAAGTGATTTTAATTTTTTTATTAATTCATTGGTATGTGGGAAGTACTATATATATTTTTTAACAATGATATTGATAACATCTGAGTGCTTAGTAAGTGCCAGGCACTGTTTCCAATACATTTGTCCGCTGGTTTATTCCTTTCCTACATATAATAATAATCTTCCATTTACTTTTCATCTTTCGTTTTGGGTTGATAGGCAGCTGAGTCCTCCTGTTTTTAGTGGGAGGACCACTAAAAGAAGATCAGAAGTCCTAGAGTTTGGTCCTTCCTTACCACCGTTCCTGAAACCTTAGCCAAAGCACTTGAACCTGAGATCTGTAAAAAGGAAGGAGCAATCTGCTGATCTCTCTGAGGTCCTGTCTGCATTTTATGAATATTTGACCTATGTGAAATTTAAGCATCATTTAAGGGTTTTGACCTTTTGATTGTGAAATACACATCTATAAAATCATGCTACCTGTATTTACAGATTAATCAATAATTTTAAATAAGATAACCATTTAACCACTGACCAGGCCAAGAAATAGAATATTCCCAGCTTCCAGAATGCGTCTCTGTGCCCCTGCTGCTGTTCACAAACCCTTCCTTCTGGAAGTAACCACTAGTCTGTCTTTAGCAATAGTCATTTCTCTGCTTTTCTTTATAGTTTTACTACCTATGTATGAATCCCTAAATTATATATTTAGTGTTGCACATGTTTGAACTTTACATGATGAAATCATATTGTATGTACTTTTTTGTGATTTGCTTCTTAATATATTGTGGCGGTCCTCCATGTTGTTGCTCATAGTTGTATTTTGTTCCCTTTCCAATCCATCGTGTGAATATACTCCTGTTTATTTTTCCATTCTATTGCTGGTGGACATTTGGGATCTATTACGGAGCTAGTGTTGGATCATTGTGTGTGTGTATCTTCAGCTGTATTCACCAATGCCAGACTGTTTTTCAGAATCCTTATACTCCTCCCACAATTTAAGAGCATTCCCAATGTCACATCTTCACTAAAACTTAAATTTTTGCCAATTCGTATAGGTTTTTGTAAAACCTTTAATTACCGAATTTCCCTGTTTGACCACAGCATGTCTGATCCCAGTGAAACAGTCTCCTGTTAAGAAGAAAATCATCATCATCTTAGAGAATTTGGAAAGATCTTCATTGTCTGAGTTATTGGGAGACTTTTTGGCACCTCTGGAAAATCGCTGCCCTGAAAGCCCCTGTACTTTTCAAAAAGGTAAAGGTGGTGGGGAGACCATTCTGACCTTTCTGTTCCCCAGAGTACGAGTTATCCTTCATGATGTTCTTTCTTTATTTTAATTTGCACGTGTCCCATAATGTGGCTTGCTGAGGTTGGACCGCTGGTTTGTTGTAGGAAACGGAACAGCAGAATGTTACTACTTTCATGAGAACTGCTTTCTGATGGGAACCATCGCCAAGGCCTGTCTCCAGGGCTCCGACTTGCTGGTGCAGCAGCATTTCCGCTGGGTGCAGCTGCGGTGGGACGGCGAGCCCATGCAGGGACTGCTGCAGAGGTTCTTGAGAAGGAAGGTTGTGAATAAGGTAAGAAACCACAGCTGCAGCCTCTTGCCAGGTGGGAGAGGGGGCTTGAGGGTCAGAAGACCTGGGCTTGCCTTCTACTACTTACTAACTGTGTGGCCTTTGGCAAGTAAACTTTTTGGATAGTCAAGGGTTAAACAAGATAATGCATGTAAAACCTGTAACAGTTTCTGGACTATATTAAGTTTTAAAAAAGAGAAGCCAGTAGGTTTTACTGTTGCTATTAACTGTTCTTAAAGAGTCTCTCCCAGTTCTTAATGCTGTAAGAGGCTAGAATAGAAAATTAATCATTCTTCTTAAGGAAAAGCTACTGTTTCCTTTGAGCCTTCACAGCATTATCCATCCACTCAAGTTAGTTTTAATATATTGACTGTGACACACTGTGCTATAGTAAATATTAAATAGCCACATGAAAAATTAGATGTTTGTTTTTTTTTTTTTTTTTTTGGTGAGGAAGATTCACCCTAAGCTGACATCCGTTGCCAAGCTTCCTCTCTTTTTTGCTTGAGGAAGGTTCCCCCTCAGCTAACATCCATGCCAATGTTCATCTGTTTTGTGTGTGGGATGCCTCCACAGCATGGCTCATGAGTAGGAGCATGACCAGGATCCAAATCCACGAACCCGGACTGCCGAAGCAGAGTGCGAGGAGCTTTAACCACTCAGCACTTTTGACACATTTTCAAAAGTAATAATAACTTTTAGTGATTTTTTTCAGAATAATATTCTGAAATTCTATATTCTATTTTCTCCCAATTACAAAATTAATTTAGTGCAGACCAAATTTAGTAATTACTATTTAATTTAATATTCTTGTTGGGTCAGTAACTCAGTGTCAGGGTAGATTTAAAATAAAAGAGCTCGATTTAGCAAGATTTTGTCATTTAATCCTGCAAGATGGGCCACACTTGGAGGACAGTGTCTTCGTTGCGTCAGCACAGTGTTTTAAGCTGCAGATAACACAACACCCCACTGCTAGCTGCTTCACAGAAAGAGGCTTTTCCCCTTACAGAACCAGATGCCTTACAGTAGGTGTTGCTGGTGTCTGTTCAGCACCTGCGTGGTGTCAGGTCCCTGGATCTGCGTGAGTCTCGACCTCCCTTCAGGATTGCAGGACACTGCAGGGCTTCAGGTGCCACACATTCACACAACATGCTCAAAGTCAGGAAGCAGGGGGCTTGGGGATAGAGAGCTTCAGCTTCCTCGGTCTCCTCCTCCTCGGCGAGAAAAGCATCTTTTTCTGAAACTCCCCAAAACATGACTTCTCCTTAATTAACCAGAACTGGTTTCCATGCTCACTCCTCCGCCCCAGACCATGGCTAGACCCGCCTCCCCAAGACTGAAGCTCTCCACCAAGTCCCTGAACAAAATTCTGTGTCTACTGTGTTAGAGGATGAGAATGTACATGCATTTGGGTGGGGGGGTTAAACCGGGAGGTGGGTGGAGGGCTTTGGTAATTCAGTGAACAGTGCCTACCACAGGTGATTTGAATTAGTATCTGAAATTCTTAGAGAAATCTTCTACCCAAGCTATGTTCAGGTCAGTTGCCTGGTCATAAATATGTGCTTTTGACCAAAGCATATCCATTGTATGACCTCAACCAGTGGGAAGAAAGGTAAGGTAAAGTGCGGTCATAGGTCTATAGCTTTTCAAATTACTGATACTTCCATTAACTTCATCACTATTAATATTTAAATCTCATTGCCAAAAAAATTCACATAAAAAATCACAAAAGATGTCACTTTTTTTCTTAAAGACTTTATTTTTAGAGCAGTTTTAACTTTACAATAAAATTGAAAGGAAGCTACAGAGATTTCCCATATACCCCCTGCTCCCAAACTTGCATAGTCTCCCCCATTGTCAACATCGCTCACCAGAATGATACACTTTTTTTACTGAGGATGAACCTACATTGACACATCAAAGTCCCAAGTTTACCTAGAAGAAAAACATGGAGTGCTTCACAAATTTGGGTGTCTTCTTTGCACAGGGACCATGTCAATCTTCTCTGAAAGGTACCAGTTTTATTTTTTACATATGGTGGTGTTTCAGGTAAAATGTGCCTCCTCTTCCCTCACTCCAGCCCTCTGGTAAATATAGTTTGAAAAGGATTGATTTTACTTATTTTGAAAGGAAAGTTGCAAGCTTCAAGCTCTATTCTCTTTTCCATTGTGTTTGAGAGTGGGAATGTGGAGTGTGCTGTGAATAGAAAGGGGGGAAAGGGTAATGCCTTTTATTTACCAAAAAATCATTTTGAATAGGTTAATAAAGCAGATTCCTGGGGTAAGAGTACAAAGGGAATGAATGACTCTTGCAAAATATCAGAAATCTTATAACTGCAGAACAGAACCAAATCTTTGGGGGCGCCTCAAACCACACTGACACTTGGTCACGATTTCTTCTTCCAATCTCTTACAGGGATATAAGTAAACAGACCTTTTAGGACATTACCAGTCTTCCTACTAGTATTTAATAAAAATAATTATACTTTTTTTGGTAGGAAATTAACATTTAGCTATCGTTAATTGAGTACCTGATCTCATTATTCTTGCTGGAAGAATATCAAAGAGAGTAGGAGAAATATAATGGTCGTTCCTCTTTTGAAGAAAAGGGAAATTGTGATAACAGATCCCAAAGCCTCATGTGACAGTGCTAACACCTGAACGGAGATGCTCGTGTCACTGAACCACTCTCATTCTTCCTAGGCTGAATTATGCCCCTTCATGGAGGACGTGCAAACATTCACAGACTGTCCTCAGTCTTGATGCCGTAATTACTTGGTAAAGCAGAGATTCATACGAGTCTACGTTCTTATAAAATACAGAGTCAACTGCTATATCTGACTTCTGAATAACTGAGAGATATTTCTCCTAATAGTAAATAAATCTTTGTCCTTTTGTGTATTCCATACTAACAAAAGGGACTTGGTTTTATAAAATATAATTCTCAAAAGAATTACTCCCGTTAAACCATGTGTGTTACACAATATTCTTTAAAATTTGCACATTTTAAAATTTAAAGACAAATGTCTCGGGGCCAGCCCAGTGGTGTAGTGGTTAAGTTTGCGCACTCCGCTTCAGCAGCCCAGGGTTCACCAGTTTGGATCCTGGACGCAGACCTACACACCATGCTGTGGCAGGCGTCCGAAGGATAAAGTAGAGGAAGATGGGCATGGATGTTACCTCAGGGTCAATCTTCCTCAGCAAAAAGAGGGGGATTGGCAGCAGATGTTAGCTCAGGGCTAATCTTCCTCAAAAAAAAAAAGTCTTTATTCTGGCAGAGTTCTGTACATTTTGATGAAGTTAGCATTTTAGCTGAGACCTTCCTTCTAGGGAAATTAAAATTGCAAACGCACCACAGATCCAGTTATACCATCTTATCACTTATCCAAAACATTGAAATATTTAATGGCTTTTTTTATGGCATTTATTCAAAATCCTTTCTTGAACACCTGTTTGCAAGACCCTGTGAGGTACTCTATATACATGTGAAAAATGATTTTTTGCAGAAGTGATATTTAAGAATTTATCCAAGCTTTCTTCTTAGTCTACTTACTGCTCTACTGTATCTGAACCCTCTCATGTCACATAATAAGCTACAGATCTGTATCTCATGCTAAGACACATAACACTGTCTGTTATTACTTATCCGTCCTTCAACCACCCTAAGTGAAGGTAAAATCAGATTCAGCTATATTTTTGTTTTGTAGTTTTATATTTTTAATTTTGGACTGTTAAAAAAAAAAGGAGAGCCAGCCCTGATGGCCTAGTGGTTAAAGTTCAGTACTCACCACTTTGGTAACCCGGGTTGGTTTCCCGGTCACGCAACCACACCACCCATCTGTCAGTTGCCATGCTGTGGAAGCAGCTCACGTGAAAGAATGAGAAAGACTTACAAGTAGGATACACAGCCATGCACTGGGGCTTTGGGGAAGGGGTAAAAAAAAAAAGAGGAAGATTGGCAACAGATGTGAGCTCAGGGCAAATCTTTCCATGTGGGAGAAAAAGAAAAAAGAAGAGGGTCAAGCATAGAATCACAAGGAAATACATCTTAAAAAAACAAACGACAAGAAGCAATGTTCTAAACCAAGCCCCTGTGTTCCGCCTCCATGTCTCTCTAGTTCAGAGGTCAGGTGCCCTCTCCCTGCGACCCCGTGTGCAAGACAGTCGACTGGGCCCTGGCTGTCTGGCGCCAGCTCAACTCCTGCCTGGCCCGCTTGGGCACACCTGAAGCACTTCTTGGGCCAAAGTATTTCCTGTCTTGTCCTGTAATCCCAGGGCATGCCCAAGCGACAGTGAAGTAAGTGTCCTTTCTCCTTATTTGCCTTTTTAAAATAGAGCCATGGCCAATTTGGGGTGTTTGGGAGTGAGGATGCTCAAGGGGCCACCTTGTGCCGCTTCCTGTCATCAACATAGCACACCAGAGCTCTGTGCTCCTGTCAGAGGACAACCGTGACTTGTCTGTTGGATAGTTCCTAAGGAAACCATTTTAGCTAAGACTAGGAAGCAGTTTCCCTCTGTTAGAAAACTCTTATCAAGGTCATGTGTGACTTGCTGTGCAGTGTCTCCTGGGGAAGGCTCACATGAGAAACTCAGTCAAGTATCCTGTAACCAAAAAAACAAAAACAAAACCTTACATTCTATTGATGAGTTGAAGTTTCCTCCTTTATTAATGAGACTTCTGTACCTATTCTCTTTTCCCTTGTAGCAGCGTATGAGAACAGACGTACAAACAATAAGGTTAATGAAATAGAAAATGAGGAGGAAATTGAAAGGAGGAATAAATTTGTCACGCTCCAGCTTAGTAAGGGTTCCATGATTAGCTATTAGATTTGATTCTACACTTTCTGGCATCCTGGGCAGAAATCCATTTTGGAAAGCAGGGTGATATCAGTAATGTATCATCTCTATTGTAAGACGAACTGTCAGTTTAATAACAGGTAATTGGGGGGAAAGGAAGAAGTACTATATTAAAATCTACACAGTGTTTTCTTGCTAAAAAGCAGAAGTACGTTTATTCATATAATTACCCTTCCTTCATTAGTATCACAATTAAATTGTGTCTTTTTATGTCCAGAGTCTCAAGACTCTGGAGTCAGTTTTTGGCCTTTCCTCTCGGGAGGACAGTCACTGTTGAGAACTAGAGGCTCTGAGAATTTTACACTATTTGCAAGCTAACAAGTGAGCCTGCCACAGTTTCCAGGTGCTGAGTGAGAGGTTAAGGACTTCATCACTCCCAGCACGGCCCGAGCCTGAGCTTCACATTGGCATCAGTTGCCCTGGCTCCTCAGGTCTCACAGGATGATACCGGTGGCCCAGATGGAGGCTGGCTTGGCATCACAGCTGCAGAACTCTGAGCTTGGGAATCCCCCCAGTCTCCTAAAGGGGGCTGCTGGCAAATCTGGAAGTAGACATCACTTTCATCATCCTGCTCAGGAAACAGATCTACCCTCTGCTCCAGAAGAAGACACCGTCTCTATCTTCCAAAGCTGTTTGCTATATAAACATCCGTGAAAAGATAGTCCAGAACAAAGCTGACACAAGATGTGCAAAAACTTGCTGGAGAATTGTCTCTCAGTAGCCATATTAAGGAACTGCTACTTTTTTTTTTAACTAAAGTTTATCATCTTTACCCCTTTCACACCTTTAGGAGGAACTGTGTACGTTTGACTTGTGTTACAGGATACCAGATTTTTGTCTATATTCTCTATTTTAGTTCCATATTACTAGACGTTAACGGAGAAGCTTACGATAGATGGATGTTTGATACCTGGGTAATAGTTTTAACTGAACTTGAAAGGTTTATGCCAATTATCTAATAGCTTTGAAAACTTTCCTATTCTGGGAGACGTGGTTTTGTTTCTACAGTCTTTAATCATATTAACTGTTTTTTAATGCTGCAACAAAGTGTAATCCTTTTTGAAGGACTTTCAATTGGCATCGGGTGCTCCATACTTGGCCTAAAGCCCCACTACTACAGCTATTAACACACAGAGTCCACCTGAGGCGAGAGCTGGTTGACCCCATGCCCTCTCTGCAGGGCTAAGCCCCGCTGGGTACAGACACTGAGCCCTTCCCTTGGAGCAGGCAGATTTAATTTGCCAATGATTATAAGATGTTTCCCAATTCCAGAAATATTAAAATACAATATGTGTGTCTTATTAAGGAAATAAGACAATAATAAGGGCAAATAAGTTTAAGCTATTTAGACACGGGCCTTCAGGAAATCCTTTTTCCAAACTTCTTTCGTCTGTAAATTTACCTTCCTTTTGATGTATTTATTTATTCATTAATTCAGCAAACACTCAATCATTGATTCCTGCTCTCAGGGAGCAGTAAAAGGAGACATGGAAACAGTTGCATTTGAAATACATTGTATTTTTGAGGCAAATTCAAATTACTTTGGTGTTGGATAATTTCACTCATTCCAAAACTACTTGGGAAAGGTAGTATATCTGTAGAAACACTTAAGTGTTTTTCCATGGTCTTCAGACCTGCGCTTCATGGAGTCGTGTGTAATTCTTGAGAGGTCTGTTCCTAACTGTGAATCCACCCCTTTCTTGCAAGGTGGATGTCTAAGTTGTGGAATGCCGTCATCGCACCCAGAGTTCAAGACGCAATATTGTCAAGAGCCTCTGTGAAAAGACAGCCTGGCCTTGGGCAAACAATTGCAAAAAAACACCCTAGCCAAGGACAGCAGGCTGTAGTTAAAGCTGCTCTCAGCATCTTGCTTAATAAAGCTGTTCTGCATGGCTGCCCCCTCCCGAGAGCAGGTATGTGGGCTCGTGCTGGGAAGAGAGGAAATTCACAGCCTTATATAATACTCGTTGGAATTTGTTTTTGGGGAGTTCTCTTTTCTCTCTTTGTAACTAGAGAAATTATCTCAACATTAATGCACATTTCACAACTTTGCCCCAGAACTCTGTGTTTTAATTACTGGCTCATGTTTAAATACCAGCCTTCCAAGAAAAATTTGCTGGTTCACAAAACCCCTGCTTAGGTATTAAGCAGGCCGGTGATTTTGAAGAGTCTGTTTCTTTGAGAATTG